CTATTGTTGTTCTGCTCCAAGCTCGCCCTGTCTCTGGCAGCACTGCCCTGCAATGTTTCAGTCCCAATACATAACAGGGACGATTTCATATTTCTTATCCTTGCTGTTTCAGTCGGAGAACTCCCACACTGGTTATGTTTTTCCCGTTTGTGCTAATTGACTCGGTGCAATTTCCTTTTCATGCCATCGTGATTCCCTTCGCCACATCCCCCCCCCTACAATGTACTTTTTTTGCATAAATAGGGTATCGTCAAATCAGTGTTATACAATATAATCTACATGTACGTATTGTAAATATTTTACATTGTGTGTGCCTTGACCTGGGTGACTCAGGCAAGCCCAATCTCATCAGATCTGACAAGCTAAGCAGGGTTGGCCTTGGTCAGTATTTGGATGGGAAACCACCAAGGAATACCAGATGCATGAGGAAGGGGCAGGCAATGGCCGACCAACTGTGAGGGTCTCTTGCTTCAACTTCCCCCCTCCAGTATATAAATACCACATAAAGTTAAATGAATACAGTACAACATGTATACATGAGTGGATACAACAAAACATCTTGACAAATATTGCTCGATGCAGCCCATCTCTCTGGGCTGGAAAAGTCCTGGAGATTTGGAGGGGCAGAGTTTTGGGAGGCGTGGGGCCTCAGTGGGTTATGTAGGGTTTCCAGGCCCCCCTGGCCACTGGCGGGGAATGGGGAGGTAGGGTTGCTTGATCCAGGTTGGGAAACTCCTGTAGATTTGGGGATGGAGCCTGGGGAGGACAGGGACCTCAGTGGGGCACAATGTCATAGAGTCCACCCTCCAAAGCAGCCATTTTCTCCAGAGGAACCAGTCTCTGTAGTCTGGGGGTGAGCTGTAATTCCAGGGGATCCCTAGGTCTCACCGATCTCGGTTGCATGGAGATCAATTGTAATAGCAGGAAATCTCCAGGTGCCACCTGAAAGTTGGCAATCCTATTCTACACATTGGGCTGTAAATGGATGTGAAATGAAATGGCAGCAAAGCCGTTATGTTGCTAAGGACAGCTTAGATGAAACCCAATGATAGGATTTTTAAAAAGCATTTATTGATGAATGATTTATATTATTTGTCTGTCTGTTTAAACTATGGCCCACAGAGTGGTATAGAAAGGATTGGGCGTAGAGGTTGGGAGGTGAACTGCATCCAGTTGTATGAGAGTGTACTTGTGCAAAAAGCCGATTGTGCTGTCCTGTCCTGTTAAGAAAGAATAGGGAAGCCATTGAACAACCACAGACAGGTCAATGAACAGACAAGCAGATAAAATGTTGGCTCCCTGTTTGCTGCTGGCAAAGTCTGTTACTGATTCAAATTCACCCACTCGGCTTCCACAGCAAGAACCTGGGTCTGGCAGATCCTGCTCTGAAGTGCTAACTGCCACACTGCCTGTGGTATCGCCTGGTATCACAACTGAACTCCAGACAACAGATCTCTCTTCCCACTTGGAGAAAATAATGGCTTTGGGGGGTGGACTCTATGGCATTCTCCACTCCACTCCCCAAACCCTGGCTTCTGTAGACTCCACCAGGAATTTCCCAACCTGGAGTTGGCAACCCTAGTCAGGACTGGCCCCAATCTGTTCCCTACAAAGGCCTGGAAAGGGCTTCCTGGCTTTGCCTTTTTACTGAGAGAACCAAGCTTGGTTGCCTAGCAACAGCCAGTGAGGGAAAAGTTAGTCCCACAGGAGCCAAGCAGGAGAAGTGTCTTTGTCAGGAGAGACAGCCATTTTGGCAGTTATTCTGACAGCAAACAGTGGCTGAGGTGGCAGTGGGTGGGGAAGAGGAGTGGGCCCAGCACCCAACCAATGGCACACATTTACTCTTGAGTGGTGCTTAATGGGCCAATGGCTGATGGAGCCACTGCATAGCCAACGCGTTAGGAGAATTATATATGTAAGATTACAACCTAAGACTTTGATTATTCCAGCTAAGGCCTTTTCTCTCCTGGAGAAAAGCAGGGCAAACTCTATGACATTACACCCCATCGGGGTCCCTCCTCTTCCAAACCCTGTTCTCCTCAGGTTCCACCCCAAATCTCCAGATATTTCCCAACCCAGAGGTGGCAACCCTAGGTGTAACAGCACAGTAGAGATCAATCCAACTTTCAGTAAGTTTGAGGATGGAAGGGTGTGTGGAGGGGAATGTTGAGGACTGCCAAGCAATGCTCCCTCTAAGCTGTGAAGTCTTGTGAGCAAAAGTTCTACTTTGTGAGCTCCTGGCATTAAAGTTGTGAGTGAACAATTTGGCTGCTGCATAAATCAGTTTGCTGTGGAGCCATCCTTCCTGAGCTAAGACAAAAATCTGTGAGCTGAGGCTAAAAAAACTGTGAGCTAGATCACACTAACTCAGCTTAGAGGGAACACTGCTGCCAATTGGTTTTCACAACCACCACAGGTATATTTGCCATGATGTTATCACACAAAAAAGAAAAAAAATTACATGTTCCCTCCCTGTTTGCCTGACTTACCTTGACTGCTGCATTATGGGATCCCCTTTTGTAATTATTGATCGAGAGTTGACATTTTAACAGCCTTCTACAGTCGCTCATGTAGCATTTGTCTTTACTTTTTTATTTAAACAAGCAAAGAGAGGAAATGTCTAACGGTTCAGCTTTTCAGGTTTGTATTGGGATTGCTGTGGGTGGAGAGCTGTTAAAATCCTGAACCGGTGCCAATCGCTTAATGTGAAAACTAGTGGGCTTCTGTCCTTGCGGTGGAATGAGTGTGCTGCCAGCTAATGGGTCCATGCTGCATGGAATTTAGAAGTAGATCTACCATCCTGGGGAATTTTAAACATGCAGGCAGAGATGTTGCTGGGTTCCAGTTGTAGATTTCCATAACATAACTCACAGCTAGGATTGGCAGTCGGAGAAGGGAGATGAGAGAAGTCAGTTGTGGGGGCAAGAGTTGCAGCAGGGTCTGGACTCTGGCAATCCTATACAGCCTTTCGACGACGGCGCAAGCTCTCGGAGTTGTGTACAAAGCAAAGTTGGACAGCAATTAAAGCATCATATAACCCATCTTAATTCTGAAAACAGAAATCACCACTTCCTTCTGCTGTCTTCCGTAATCAGGACCAGTGTTCCCTCTAAGCTGAGTGAGTGTGAGCTAGCTCACAGCTTTTTAGCCTCTGGCTCACATATTTTCGTCTTAGCTCAGGGAGGACGGCTCCAAAGCAAACTAATTGATGCAGTAGCCAAATTACTCGCTCACATCTTTAATGCCAGTAGCTCACAGAGTAGAATTTTTGTTCACAGGGCTCCACAGCTTAGGGGGAGCATTGATCAGGACATTTAGGTGTTGT